ATCGCCATTTTTGGATCGAAAATTGAAACAAATATAAATATACGACTTTAGTGGCATTACGCAACGTCTTAAATGGAATTAATGAGTCATTATCCCGTAAACCAACTAGTTACTTTCACCCCAAAAATTAATAAACAACGGTTATTTTGGTTGTGAACACACAATTTTAAAATAGCTAGCTAAAATGCTTCACCGATACGAGAAATATCATGCTGTAATTTAGTATAATGGGATTTTTAATCCTCATATTCGCTGAAATATACTACAACAAATGGTTCGTGTATTCATAACAAGCCATGTCCGTGGTAGCACATATTCACTATACTTGAGTGAAGAGCTACTGATAAATCAAAAAAGCTTCCTTTGCCGGTTCTCCTAAAACTTTCCGGTCAGTTATTTTCAGGAAAAGGAAAGGTTAGATTGGGGGGAAGGTTTTTCGCCGGAAAACTGGCTTCTCAGGCATTTTCATCGCCTCGAATTCTATAGTTAGTTGAACTACACACGTGTTGCATCCTTGAAGGAACTAGCTATGGTAACAAAGTTGACATGACGATGAATTAGCGGTATAAGAAACTCGATTTAAATTTTTACCTCAGTTAAGGCTTTCTTTCATTGATCGTAACTTGTGTTAATATATTATCGATCTTAATGATTGTTAGTGCCTTTCGGAAATCAGAGCTACTAGTTATCTACATTAATATTATTATGCGGAAGTATGCGGAGTCTGTAAATGTGTCACGATGCCGCGTAAAGTGTAATATTTTATTTTATTTTAAGAGATATAAATTTTAAACCATATACGATTTTCTACCCCAAAACTGCACCAGTAACATCAATTAGGGAGAAATGTTTTAAACTTGTGTCCCGTTCGAGACCAAGTACTCATGCATTATTGTAGAGATGTGTCAATCCTCTCCGGAGACACGAAATGTCGAAACAGAACACGTGAGTTGTGGTAATGGAATGGTTTCTTCTCTTTTTTCCTTTCTTCCACAATTTGCCTCACTAAAATCACAATCATCCGAAATTTATAGTCGTTATTCAATGCTTACATAAGAGAATACAATGAGGAATGAAACTTGAGAGGCATGACGCATTTCTCTCTTTATTGATAATATCCTGTCATGCGTAGCCCATAATAGGCATGGACCTGAGCTGTCTATGACTGTATTGTATACGTTTAACGCATGGCTTCATTGAGACAGAGTACGACAAAATTTCAGAATTTTCAATAGATAACCTTGAAACAGGATGTTGAATCATCTCTTTCGAGACTTTTTATAATGATTTTCACAAATAAAATTTAAAAATCAAACAAATGAAATTAACTTTGGTGGATATTTCAAATGACAAAAAATAGATTTGACTTCAATTTCTCAGATCAGACATTCTCATGCAGTATCTGATGTACTCGGATATCTACTTAAACGGCACTGAACAATTGTTCTCGAATTCTGAAGGTAAATCTTTTAAAATAAAATTTACAACCACCTCTTTTTCGGCATAAAACCTCTGAGTTTTGTTAACCTTTAGGAAGCGCGTATTTGTGGCTGAAACTGAATGACTTCGAGAATATTATAAATTGTACTAATTCTTTACTTATTGTTCCAATGTATTACTTTTGATCACATATTTGGTGTTAAACGGAATTGCCTCTGATTTGATGATTATTAATTGATCAGCCATTTAATGGATGATTCAAGTTCCATAAGAAAAGTCCATATAAACAAGTGAATATTTGCATATTATGGGGATATTTCTGAATATACACTGTATTATCATTAAATTACATTAATATAGGACGTTTGAGTAACCCATTAGTATCTGAACAGTTAGATAACTGAATTTCCTATTTGAAGAGAAAATAAGGAATGTAGTAAATGTATGCAAGTATTGTAGGAATGCTGATTTAAGTAGTCCATACATTTTTAGAGTTTTCCACTGGGAAACTGTACCTACAAGAGAAATATTTATTGATGAACTATTTGAACGTTGAACTCCGTTAACAAATATGAATATTTAGCTTTATCAACTTCATATTCGAAGAATTGTTGTTCATAAAATGAAAAATTAAATGTCAATTCAGAATGACGATAGTAACGTATTTTTTGACTCTGAGGCATCTCTAGCCACACAAGTGGAATTGATTCCACGGTATTCCATGAAAATATCCTTTCCAAAAATGTCTCTATTGCATAATAATTATTGTAAATGTTCTCTACTTTTAACGGTGCTTTTCTAATTTCACGAAAGCAGCTGGCTGAACTAGTTGCTCTGCCGTGTCATTTGCGTTGACGTCCACGACAAACAAGGACGGAAGTAAAAGACGCACACACTGAGGATTACATGATGTGTTTGAAGTGAACGACCTACTACAGCCTCACGTGGAGTTGTCGTTACTAGGGCAGAGAAAGTCTCCACGCCTAACTTTGTCTAATTTTCCTTAACAGTGCCTCAAAAATATTTTGTGTCATATAGTGGTCAGTTACTGTTCCATTAGGTTTGCTCTATTTAAGATTAATATACCAGAAAGAGAACACGACATAAAGTACGTTTTTACAGCATACAGCTGAAAATGAACATAATTGCAATTGCTAAACCCAACGGCTATTCGCAAAGGAAGTATTATCAGTCATTTTCTCTCGACAAAAATTGCTTCCATATATAATTTTTATTGCCTTCTGCATCGACGATTTAACAGATATTTCTTGAACATAAGTCTCAATAATTGGAGGAATCATTGCATTTATTACTATTGCAAGTCTATTGATTTCACTTTCTAATGTGCTCTACATTTGCTGTTCCACTTTTCAGTCAACGCTAATTGCGCGTGATTTTGTGGCGTGATTGGAGATACTTATACGAGAATATTCTGTAGTAAATTAAGTGTTCTAAGTAGTTATTATGATAAAAATAAAAATAGAAGATCGTATCAATTCATTGAACAATTTCTGATTTTGATATATTTTAACGATATGGAAAAAAGCTAAAATTGCAAATACAATAAACTTGTACCTAGAGAATCTGAAAAGAGACATTGTAATATTGAATACGTACCCTTACATGTCATGGATTTAAAATAAATTATAATTATTTCATCAGATTGACTTACTGATAATGAAGGTACGATGTGATTTTTTTTTAATTCTCTTAATTTTGTATTTGATTTCTAATTAGGCGTATTTCACCCTTACTGACAGTACTGATAACTTCGTATTAATCATATTTTCCATTATTAAACATCACTTAATTTGAAATTAAAATTCATAATTAATGAAATTAATAGTCTTATATATAGTTTTATGCTCATTGTAAATGCTGCAGTGTCGTTCAGTCATTTATGCTTCCAGGGTAAATTATTATTTAGCATTGTTGGTGTAAAAGATGGTTGAACAGAGGTGACCAGTTTCGAGAAAGTGTAAATGAAAATTATACTGAACTATAAACACAACAAACTATTTCCTAAATACAGAAGTGCTCCTGATATGTTAGTACACTTCGAAAGCGGCAGAACCCTGTTACGTCTAATCCTAGAAAAGAAAATGATTGGCAAGTGAGCTTCTGAAGTAGTTATTTGGGCAACAAACTGTACCAGAATTAATTAAACATGTTGAATTTGTTTCTGTGAATATCCAGAACCTTTGCAGTACAGAAAGTTTCGAGAAAATAATGCAAGGTGCGAATTAAAAATGAAAAAAGAATCCTTTGAATTCTATTTGGTTGCTAAGGATGATAATAATACCAAGAAAGTTCAGAGATTCTGAGAATATTGGTTTCCTGAAGACGTCAATGACCTTTACAAGAAACACTATTTTGACATCATCGATGCATTTCTATGGAGTCTGGAGTCATAATGTACACGGTTCGAAAACGTATGCTATCTGCAATTAGAAAATAAGTTGTTATCAAGATTGGATGATCAAAAACATGTTAATCACCTTCAAAATTGTGATAACGATAGTCTGTCTTATATTTATCGCTCAGAATGAAGAACAATCAACGGTTTTACAAATGTTCCCATGAAGGTTAACAACAAATTGTAGAGGGTTTAAAATATTTTTTTAATGTAACGCTAAAATATTTGCGTTCTTTTGCCAACTCAAAGGCCAACGAGTATTTTGCAACCATTCAAAGTCTTGAATAGGGATAGAAAAATTGAAAACTACAATATTTCAAAATGACATTGATGCGTTTGGGGTTCTGTAGCAGTAAGCCAGTCAACAAGCAAAATTGAGTTATTTCCCTTTTTCGTTTTTGGTTCGTTTTTGAAGGTTGACAAGCCACTGGGGAAGTAGTGTAATACAATAGAGTTATGAATGCAGTACATTTTAATGCTTGTTATGTTGATCACGTAATCTAATTAATGCTGTGAATTTTCACTTGTTTGTGATGTAAACGGCTCTAAAGATGTATTTGTATTATCTAATCCCAAGTGCCCTACTTTGCTCACATATTTCGTAAGTGTTTCTAATGGTTAATATTAATATATTTCATTATTTTTTAAACATTTTGTACTGAATTAAATTGTTTTATCTTATCCGATCGCCTTGATATGCAACATTTTTACAAGTTCCGAGTAGTTAAAATGGATCATTACTATATCTGATGTAATAAAGGATACGGCGGAGGGTCAATAAAATATTATTAATCATATAGGCGTACTGTTAGAAAATTAAAAAGGCAATCGAATTAGAAAAACATATGTTTATTTCTCCTATATGGTGTCCCGAGTGGACTCCATATGTGTTCGTAAGTGATAATGAACTCTTGCTACAACGCTTGTGTATAATCAAGGATCTTTCACAGAATAGCCTCTTTTAGCCACGAATTAGATAAATAACAATTAATCCACGAGTAGATAAAACGTTGTGACGAAGTCGTTGTGACGAAGAACGTAAAAATGACTAAACAGTCGTTTACAAATCTGTACTACAATGAATTAAAGTTCAAAGCGTGAAAGGTTCTTCCGTCACGGAGCAGAGTGCGGGCGCGGAGCTTACCTGCCGGAGGCTGCAGAGGGCGGGTCGCGGGGCGGCGCGGGAGACCTGTCTGCGCGGCGGGTGGATGCGAACTGCTCGGGGCCGCTCTCTTCCGCGTGGCGCTGCCCCGGCCCCGGCGCACGCCTCGGCCCCGCTCCTGGCTTTCCCCCGCTCGCCGCCGCCACCGCCGCCGCCGACCACCGCCCCCGGCCGACCAGCCCGCGACAGCGGCGCCGGGAGGGGGATGCAGCCGCTGTAACGAACTAAAAAAGCGCAAAACGAGGGCTAAATTATTATTGTTGTTATTATTCTTGTTATTATTGTTATTACTATTGTTATTATTGTTATTATTCTTGTTGTTATTGTTGTTATTATCGTTTTTCATGGGATTTGGTCCAGAAATCAAACAATTATATTAGTTTGTCGACGTATCTAAGTTTTATATCTCCATTTTCAGGGCTCAGTTCAGTTCAACACGGTTAGAAGTATGTATGTTTGATCGGGAGATCTTAGGTTCGAGTCGGGACGGTGGCAGGAATTTCGACACTAGCTTGTCAGCTAGGTCAAATTCAATCACTGTCTGGTGGAGAATTCTAGCGTCCGTTTGCTCGTCCAGTTACGGTAGTTTTCCGTCGTTTCTCCTATCAACATTAGGCGAATGCCGGAGCTGTGCCCTCACAAACGGGCCGTGGACCGCGCGCAATCTTACCTTCTGTTCCTTGTCCTATCCTCACCCCTCACACACACACACTTAAACTACCCGCACTACCCTACCACACATGTAGGGAGATCGGTCGGCAGCTTAGAGCTTTTCCCGGTTAGAGCAGTGCCCTGCTGATGAGAGATACCTGGTTTTCGAAATCCCGCTGGCCGACGGTACGCCGGCGCCGGATCTAGCCCTATAGCGAGAGAACGACGACCGCCAACGCAAAAACATGCACTAAACTTACGGACCTATTGACCCTAGTAGTTGACCTGCCCGAAATCACTAACAATCAATCGAACCGAAGGGAAGAGAGGCTGTCTAGGGCTTCTTCTGAACGTCTAGCATTCGTTTCCTTTGGCATCTGTCGCTTATCTTTAAATGATTTCTCATTGTCCCTGGGAACAGAAATATAATAGAATATGAGGTATGAGGAGGATAATATGATTTCTTGGTACAGTATAACAACACGCCCCTTCGTTTTTGTGACATCTAATCCCCGATAACAACCTTATTTTGTTGTTGTGAGCATGAACCTCAAGTAACTGAGGCTTCTTGTAAAAGAAGGAGCTGACGCTCAAAATTCAAAACATCGGTTTATGAACGTATTCAATTATAAACACGATGAATTTGTCTATAAATTAATGTTTTTATTTTTGTGAGTTAGCTCCATTCGCACTGGATGCCTCAATTGTAGAGAGGTATTATGTTCATCGTGACATACCTTAATGTTGTACATTGACTTGTCCGTAAGCTTGAATCAAAATCTTCTATGTTCGAGAATCTTCTACATTCGTAAATTTAAAAAAAAAAATACTTTCAGCTGGAAAAGCTGTTCTCTACCTCATCACCGTAACGTTTACTGGTGTATGAAGACAAAAGAGCAACGAAGATCAGCATTCAAGGGAAGCCATTTGATGGCAGAACCCAAACGCTACTGACTGTTGCTGAAAAATTACCATGGAACGTCTTGTCTCTTAATCCACCACCCGTCACTATCTAGGCTTCCACTTGTTTGAATTCGATCTGCATTTTGCCAGATTCTAAACGTTTTCGAGTTCTTCGAAACGTATTAGTTATACTTTATATTTCACGCTACTTTCAATGGGACTGAAAAAGATTATTCCTGGAGATCACGAATTTCATCCGGAATGCTCTAGCTGCTACGTCCTAAAAATGAAAAAAAAATAAAAACATGCTCAGTATCATTGCCACGTGATTCGTAACTTGCAACGTAGACGATACGAGAAAGCTTGAAAAGTTGCGATATAAAAACCTAAAATAATAATTGCACTTCCGAGCGCCCGCGCTACAGGGTGACTGTCGACAAACGGTTTTTAATGTAACATATGGGACTGCAAAACAGTTGAGAAGACCTCTTACACGTGCCTTGTTAGTGTGAAATATATTCCAAAGATAATACGCGAGATATCTACTAGAAATGAATGCCTCCCACTTCAGCACAAATCTTAGTTCTAGCATTTCTCTTGCAAAAAACATAGAGACAATTTGTATGCAATAGTAGGGTAATCTTTTTCCAGAAGAGATGTAATATTATCTTTAAACAGTGTGATATAATCTACAATCTTAAGAATAAAAAGTTAAAAATACACCTGCAAAAAGCAGAAAAAGTTGTTTCAGAAAAAGTGATCTCTGGGAAGATAATTACTTGCTGAGTGTTTAAATTGTGATGACTGATCAGCCCTTCCCGCAACCAAGGATAAGAAGATTACATGAAAAGTCGACCGCCTTAATAATGATGAAACAATACATTAAAGGTAGAATGATTGATAGAGAAACTAGTGATGCTAAAACAGCAATTACTTCGTGCCCGTATTTTCACGCAAAAATTACCCCAAAAAGTACTCAGATTTTGAAATGAGGTAAAAAATGTTTCGAAAATATATCTTAAGGAACAGATTTCCTTAGGGAAAATCTTTATCTCCATAATTGTAGTTGTTGGAAACGCGCGAAACAATTTTGAATTTTTGCAATTTTTGGAAAACTCAGTTTTGAATGAAAATAAGACCGTCCACCATTCTCTTAAACGTCCTTACTCTATCCCACAACAAAAGTTAATCAAAACGACGAAGTTTTTTATTGAAAATTTTGAAACTGTTCTAGGGGTTTCATGTAAAATATCCCTCAAAATTAAAATATCGGTTAAAATTCCAGGAGTCGCGACATCAACCAGATCGACTGGGGGATATCAATTTTGGAGAAAATCGGCTAAATGGTTCAGATACTGGCGCTGATCACAGCTGGAGAGACGTTTCCCAGCATTCGATTTTTGGTAACATAAACATAACATGACATAACATGACTAACGTGACATAACGTGACATAACGTGCACATAACGTGGCATAACGTGACATAACGTGACATAAGAACGTGACATAACGTGACTAACGTGACATAACGTGACATAACGTGACAAACGTGACATAACGTGACGTAACGTGACGTTAACGTGACGTAACGTGACTCGTAGTACCGTGCACGTAAACGTGACG